AGAGAGAGAGAGAGAGAGAGAGAGAGAGAGAGAGAATGAGAGATGGGAGAAATGCGGAAGAAGAGCAGAAGAGATGGTGGGAGGGAAGGGGGAAGCAAGATAAACGACAGGTGATGAAATGCTAAAACGGACAACGGGCCGTCATTTCGACAGACACGCTCGTAAAGCACGCCGCTGCCTCCACCACTTTTGAAGTTCGCGCGCACAGTAAATTAAGAGGCACTGAAAATTTGCGATGCGTGGCATGGAGAGAAAGAGTGAGAGACACTGTGTGTGTGAGAGGGAGAGAGAGAGAAAGCGACAAAGAGTGTTGTACTCTCCAGCAGCCTGTGCGTGGCGTGTCTGTCTCTCTCCTCTCTCTCTTTTTCCCAGAGCTGGCTGAGGTCCAAGGCAGACCACGGAGGTGGGGGGTGAGGGTAGAAAGAGGCAGAGAGGACTTCCCTCCCTCTCGCCGCATCGGGTTGACCCCTATCTGGAGGGCAGAGCCAACCCAGTTCCCTCCCCCTCGTGCTCTCTCTCTCTCTCTCTCTCTCTCTCTCTCTCTCTCTCTCTCTCTCTCTTTCCTTAACTCTGTAACTCTCTCCCCTTTCCGCTTCGAATCCAGGCCAAAAGTACAGGGACTAATGGTGTAGTGCGGGCGCGGAGGAGTCAAGTGAATGCTGCTAAATAGCGCCCGAGTAAAAGGAAATAGGATCTCAGGCAGGACCTCCCACATTCATGTAAGTTCCAAGACGTTAACAATCCAGTCAAATTGAATTCAAAGGGGGTAGATATGACTTTTTGGGGCCTATGCAACCGTGAGTCACAATCGATTCATTTTTGTTTCGTTCAGTGCTCGGTTCAAGTGCCAAATTAGATTTATTATCTACATTGATGCCCTCTTAAAATGTTTGCACCGTCAGCATATTGATTGGACCATGACCATCAAAAAACCTACGCACTACTGGCGTGATGTTTTATGAATGAAACCAACAAGACAAACCTGACTGACCGTGCTACAGCGTACTTCGTTGATCACTTCGGCAAGATGAATCTGTACATGTGTCCCAAGTTGACAGACTAAAGACTTTAAAACTTATTAACAAAGTATCTCTCTACCCAACCACATACGAGGATGTCACGACAAGCAGGGAGGTATGTAGTGGCGGTGCTCCCTGCGATGGGCGGGGGCGGGGCCCTCGACCAGGCCAGGCCGGGCTGGTCCGGCCCGCCCCGCGGAGGGGTGGGGCGGGTACTGTAAGTAAGTGAGCACTCGGCCATATTTCAACGCCAAGTTTAGCCGCGGGTCGCGGAGTGGGGCTGCTCGGCGGCTCGGCCCGGAGGAGCAGCAGAGAGCGGACGGCCGGAGTGCAGGGGCGGGGCGGGGCGGGGCGGGGCGGGGCGGCCAGCGCGGAGATAAGAGATAGGACGAGCGGCCCGCTGGAATTTATCGGATTCCGTGTTGCCCTCCGGCGCGAGGAAGTACTAGGTGTCGCTGGGAGGCAATGGAGGCGCTGAGGTCACGGCAGGTCAGGTGGGAGCGCGAGAGAGGGACAAAGAGAGAGAAAGAGAGGCTTACTTCAGTGGGGAAAGGAGGGGAGGGGTGGCTCCTGTATACAGCAACCTTTACTGTCCTGAACTTTGTACTTTAAAATTTGATTTTTTTCAATATTTCTTGTCGGTGTAATTACGTGCAAATTAACGCGAATATATTTTTCGCGGTCGTTTACAGACCTCCCGTCTAAAGAACCAAATTTGAATCTTAATGCTAGAGCTGCGTTTACCATGTACACAGAGGGTGGTCCATAGGCCCCTTCCTTTATTTTGCTCATACTGCACCGCATGCAGTCGTTCGGACGGGTTGCATACTCGCACGGGGCCGGTAGGCAAGCCCGGCCCCGCGCCCGCACGACAGCATGCGGCACAGTATAACCAGAATAAAGGAAGGGGTCCACCCTGTATAAACTGAAGTGCACCCGTTGCAGTGGACCAGAGGCGGCGGCCATGGCGGCGGCGCCGTCTCTATTCCAGCTGCAGCGAGGGGAAGAGGGTTGCTAATGACCTGCGGAGCTTTAGCAGGCAGTGGAGATGGGGCCGGGGGCGGCCGCCCGAGGGGTGCTGCCGCCTCTTGTTCTCTTAATGCGAGCGCGCCCAGCAGAGAGTTGGCGCCGCTCTTCGCAAAACAATTCCAGAGACCGGAGCGAAGCGCTCCACAGCTTGGGAGGGCGGCGGGAGGAGCGCGGGTCAGGAAAATGGGAAAACTATTCTCTCTGTGCGACCATGCAGAAGTTCAACGCCCTTAAAGCCGACCTCAGCTCAGCCGATTGATTGTTCCTGCTTGACTCTCTGCCCGGTTCTCTGTTCAGACGCGGAAGTGACGTGCAAGTTGGTCGGCACACAGTATAGATGTTCGCCGGAAGTACCCCTTGCAGGCGGCTCACCACGACCACCCCCACGCGGCTCATCGTGTGGGGCAGCGACACCTGGCGGGGGCGCGCGCCACGGCGATACTCCCCGCGCGGGCGGCGACGGGCGCAGGACCGCGGCAGCAGGCGTCGCGACGCCCAGGACGATACCCCGCCGCGCCGGGACCCGAAGCAACAAGCGACGCCCCCCTCCACCCACGAGCAGGGCCGGGGAGACGCGGAGCCGGCGGCCGCGCAGAGGCAGCAGGGGCTGCACTACCGGCTTCCGCTGCGTACGGTGTCACGGTGGCGCGACGTAGGAAGGGGGGAAGGGAGACACAGCGAGCACACGAAAACAAAGGTGAGCGAGGTAATCGGAAAAAATTGGGCTGATAACACTCGAACTCGGCATATCACAATGACCTACCCAATGTCATCCTTCGTTTTATAACTGTCCGGTGGGCCCACCAAGCCATTGTTCTCCCTAGGACGCATTGCATCATGTCAGGATGGCCGAGTGGTCTAAGGCGTCGGGCACACAGTGCATGTGCATCCCGATCCCACTGGGCGTGGGGCGTGGGTTCAAATCCCACTCCTGACAAATTTTTGTTTTGTTTTGTTTGAGATTTCGGATTGATTGTGAAGAATCCCAGCGAATAAGTGAACAAAAGGTGCATGCAGGGGGCATTCAGCATCTGATACCTGCCCGCACCGTGTTTTATTTCCGCTGCCTGTCCTGGCAATGCGTGCGTTGTTCTGATTAAGACGAGTGGCCGCAGCCGGCCGGCGTCGTTGGCTGGAGGCACCCGAGCAGGCCGGGAGGTACCCCTATCGACCGAGCCCCCTCGTTCTGCTCACTCTCCTCCCATACCCTACTTTGCTTCCTCCCCATTCTCTCTCTCTCTCTCTCTCTCTCTCTCTCTCTCTCTCTC